ACTCTACACCTACAAACCCCACACACCCAGCCCGAAACTCGGTCAGCGAATCCATCGCCACCCACCGGTCCCTCCCCACCTCGTACCGCTCAACCGACCAAATCCTAGTCCCAACAGCCCCAACATCGTATGCCGCGACCCCGCCAACGATAAAAATTTGGAGGAGGAGGACCAACCAACGTGGAAGCAGAAGTGCTTATCCTAGAGTGAGAAGAAGAAGTTGTAACCGAATACAACACGTTGAGGATAGTTGTGACATTTCAGTTACAATCCTTCCAAATCTCTTCAAAGTTGCGGGTGATGAAAAAGCACGGTATCTCGCAAATCATCGCTCGCATTTTCTCGCATTTCCTCTCACCCGAACACACTTGAATTCTCAAATCATTGCTCGCCATCGCTTCTGAACAGTAAAATCTGTTCAAACGAACGAAGCGTTAATCACTTAAAAACTTTCACGACTCCAATATCTCACATTTCACCTTCTTAGTATCGTGAAAACCCTGACGTCTTTCTTCTTCCTCGCCAGTCCCAGTCAACTTTGTACATCACCTAAGCCACCTCGACTCTATTAACTAATTTATATATAATTCTATCGAAATATAAAGCTTAACATTGAATGGTTAAAAGTTTTTTAATTATAAAAATTAACTATTAAAAATTTATAGGGAGAATGTTGTCACATAATTATTAAACAAGTTATTTATCAAAGTAGTATAACCTTTTGCTTAAGCTTTACCATTTCTAGCAGAAAAAAGATAGCAAATGGTGTATGTTTTTGCAGTACTAAAATCAAAATATTGGAACATTTCTTTAAGTATCATATATGTTATGTGGTATATGTTATATCTTTTATTCGATTTTCAAAATTGCAGTCAATTTAATCTTAGTTAATAATAACATATCTTGAATAATATAGATACTTACTTTTATCATTAATTATTATAAAAATGTTTTCTTAGGGTGTGGTTTTTTGGGTGTAGTGGGGGAGATGATTTGGGAGAGATGATTTGAACTGGATTGAGTGGACTTTTTTTTTACCGGGTAATTTTTAGTGGTTTTTTTGAGTGAGTTGTGGTTACATGGAGAGGTGATTTGGAAGTACAGTTTTGTGCGATTCGTGTATGCATTCTTAGTGTGTCATATTCCTTTCAAAGTTTACCCCTTGGATATCGAAAACAGCTCCTAAAATGCCCCTACGTATAAGGTTTATAAATGTATTTTGTAATGTTAATATTTATGCCAAATGTTATGAAGAGAAAAATTATGAATATTTTATAAAATTAAGGTGAAAATTTATAAAAGTTATAATGTAATAAAAAAAATTATTTTACAATGTAGTATTTGCTTGTAACTATTTTATAAGACAGTGATTCATTTATGTTGTTACGGAAGTGCGAATATTACTATTAAACAAACAAATAATTAAGTAGCAAGTTATAATATTACATGACCTAAAAAAAAGTTCAACAATTCAACATACAAATATTCTTTTAATAGTTCATGATCACGTTGATTCAGCAAGGTATCGTTGCAATGCATTGAAACGATATTGTATTGGCATCCCTTTTAGACGTCTTGTATGGGATGGATGCGAAGATAAAAAATCGAAGCACTGTCTGAATAAATTATGATCTTCAATGTTCATAGTCCGTAACAAGTTTTCAATTTGTTCGTAGTTGGATTGATGATTGAATCCTAGCATTTACCAGGGAGATTCGACACTCCATAGCCTATGTATGTCGTTCAAGAACGACAGATGGTCTTCTTGATAGATTAATTTGTTTTTGCACTTCATCAATGATTCGAGAGTCCATCTAATTTGCAGATGAGAAAGTACACAATAAAAAAAACTACCGAAGCTTATGTGAAAGATAATAATTGGAAAAATAAGTAATGTAATATTTGAAACACATAAGTCAATTTAAGCAAAACAAAGTCATGTAATACATGATGCATCGCAACCATAACCATAACTTATAAATTGTTGATGAATGGAAAACCAATAAGTCATAATTACATCACAGAAACATTAATGAATATAATATTACTACAACCGGTCAAATAACACTTCCTAACAATACCTCCGAGATCATTTTACATAATTATTCCACCGCTTGTTGTGGTGGAATCCATCAACCTCTTTGTACATGTGGGGTTCACACATAAGAAATCATAACACTGTTCGAGTAAGTTTTCATCAGCAATGTTCATACCACTCACTATTTCTAAATGTCGCCCTTGTGTATGTGTAGTCGATGTGCGACGGAGTATTTTATTTCTATCTTCCATTGCTGAGACTTGACGCACGGCTGCATCAGATATCACACCAAAATGAATATTTGATGAGCTAAGCACATTTGCGAAACCATCCAGGCTGCTCGTCAACTTATCAAATTGAGAATCAATAACATCGACCATAGGTGCCTTCCTTTTTGAGCCTCGTGAGGATGAAGTTCTAGCGGATGGGACGGAAGGCACAAATTGAGTCTGTCATGTACTATATTCATCCACAAATGGAGGAGGTGATGGTGGAGTTGGGTCTCTATATGTCGTCCAATCAGGTTGTTCTGGAATGTACTCCATATTTTGATTCAAATCACCACTGACACGAGGCCCAACACGCTGTCGACGTGCTTGACGAGCAGTTCGAACACCACTCCCAGTAGCTCGATCAGCTGCCCGTAACTCGACCATTAAATCGTAGTGTTTATACTATTAACTCTCCACTTTGCCGCCGTTGGCCTCGACTGAAACAACAAAAAGATCAAACACATTGCTTCATATGATGTATAATAACGATCCAAAAATGTTAGTATTTGTATAAATACCTGAATTAGGTCCATCCAACCTCGTCCTCAGCATGAAATGTCATACTAACCGGGTTCCACGCAAATCCACTCAATCCATAAAACAAGTCATGTACCTCGCGCCATTTATCTTTCAAGACTTTTTGACGATTTTTAACATTATTTTGGTAATTGCGACTACAGGCTATGAAGATGATCAACTATATATATATATGCTTGGGATGTCCAGCTTTCGTCAACCCTATTAACGATTCGTGATTCCTCAATCATAGAGTGTAGATTAATATGAACCTCAATCATAGTATAAGGCAAACTTCACTAATAAGCTCTATATTTTAAAGAATTAGGTTGTCTTTAACAATAAAAATCAAAACAATTGCACACAATATAGATGGCTAACCTGGACACCTTACTAATCCCTCACTGCACCTCCGTCAAATACTCAGCTCGGTTGCTTCCCAAATATTTGATATTGTAACCAAAACCTGCAAAAATATAACAATGGTTAAGCCTGCTGCCAGTAAATTCCATTTCCAAAAACAACTTCTCTCCCTGTGTCATTCCTCCTGCATGTACACTTTAATGGAAAGCAATGCGCCCAATCTATACGGGGACTACTGTTGTCGACGTTGCCCTTCACCCAAAACACAACCCTCCTTCTCCACCTAATGCAACCTCCATCCATCCCCCTCAACCAACATATTTCCTCAACCACTCGACCCTTCATACTGTTGTCCGTGCCACACGTCTGACTGGTCCTCCCTGTGTGGTTTTCTCCACATGTCTTCGTCCAATGGTGGTGGTAATAACACACCCGCATCGTCTACGCCCCTGTCCTCAACCTTCACGGCCAATGCTTCCATGGAGGACGAAACCGTTGATGACACACGCACCACCAACATCACAACAGCATCACACCATGGAGGTTCGGTTAAAGGGTTATGCACCTTCAGCTATGGCCACGGAGCACTGTCCAGCTATGGGGAACGGTCCTATGGGAATCGGACAACACACACCTACCATCGAAACAACCAGCAACCAAGCCGCACACCACCCTCACTTATTAAGGGATCCAGATACAATAAATACGTAACCGGATACACCTAAAGAGCAGAAACTGAGTATGGCTCGATCCGGATACACATACATTTCTTCTCCATCCGCTGCTGTCTTCATCATCAACCGGCAATATCCTCCGACGTCGTCTTCTTCATCCCTTGCGTCGGTTGTCATCAACGGCCTTCTTCCTCCTCCGCACACCCCCGTCTTCGTCTTCACCTCTTCCAGAGGTCTTCAACCTGCAACAACCACGTTAATGTGTAGCAAAAATTTCCTCACCTGAACTTCTCCACACCTGCTGGACCTCACTCTCGAATAAACACTCTCAGCACACAAACAACACACAAAGATCTCTCACTGCCGCAAAAGTTGGGCTAAGTATAGACACTCTCACACTCTCACAATTAATAACTTATCTACCAACGACCTCTTATAAATGGTGTTATTGGTCAGACTAACTTTTTGAATTTCAAACAGGAATCTCTCCTTTATAGTGAATTGTTCTCTCAATCAGGGAATCTTGTTGGTATCCAATGCTGCAAAAGTGTGCCTCTACACAGTCGAACCTCTTCACATGTCAAGCCACAATATTATCCCTTGTGATGGCACAATGCATTTGGTTGAAAGGAGTAAAAAAAGTGAAACCTAATCACGTGATATGTGTACGTTTCTCATGCACGCTTTTTTAAATTATCGTTGAATTATTGTAAAAACACAGGGGCAGATACGAGTTTTCACTACAAATCAGCGCAAATCTTTGTTCATCTGCGAGATGTTGAAAAAGTGAAAATCATCGCAAATCGCTACATTTACATGCATTTCCGTCGTACCAAATCACACCAATCGAACACGGTTTACCACGCAAATCCATCCTCGCAAAATCTCCTCTACAGTAAATCGCCTCATCCGAACGCAGTGTTAATTTTATACTTTCTTTTCCATAATCTAAATAACCTCGTTTTCATTCATTCAGATATGTTTTATTTCTACACCTTTTCATTTTTTTTCTATTTTATAATTTTTGTTTCTATATTGTAATCATTATTCAGTCAAAACATCAAGAGTAATTAAACTTGAAGAGTAATTAAATTGGGGTTAGAAAATAACCAAACTAAAACACTCTTACAAAGGGAAAACATAGAAACCTTAAACGAAGTCGTATGATATCCCAACTAACGGTTTTCGATCGTTTGAATTTCCGTGAGACCCAACGTTTCGATAACGCCATCAGTAACTCCGATGGGCCAAGGCCATGAACCCCCGGAATCCCCACCGGCCGCCCCACCATTATTCCGCCGCATACACGACCTGGACAACGCCGTCTCCTTCTTTATCTACACTCTCACACGCCCCATCGCCCCAAAACCCCTTCTCCGATACCTAGAGCTTTTGGCGGACTTCCGATTCTTCTTCCCAGTCTCCCTCGCCCTCTTCCTCGCCGCCCCCTCCTCCTCCCCTCTCCGACCTAACCTCCTCCTTCCCCTCCTCGTCTGCTCCCTTATTGATCTCCTTTTCATCGCCCTCATCAAATTCCTCGTCCGCCGATCCCGCCCCTCCTACTCCAACCACTCCCAATACAACGCCGTCGTCCCCGTCGATAACTTCTCCTTCCCTAGCGGTCACTCTTCCAGGGTCTGCTTCGTCGCTTCCGTCTTCTCCCTCTCCCGCCCCTCGCTCCTCGCCGATCTCCACCATCTGCGTGTGGCCTTGCTCGTGAATCGCTGGTTCGGCGGAGATCAGGCCCTCGCCGTTGATATTCTCATCTCGGCCGTTTGGGCTTGGGCCGTGACCACTGTAATTTCTCGCGTCGCTCTCGGGAGGCATTACGTTATCGATGTCTTCTTTGGCGCGTGCTTCGGAGTCCTCGAAGCGTTCTTCACCTTCCGCCTTCTCGAATTCCGAGGGTTGCTTTGAGGTAAGATTAAGAACCTGGAGCTGGGATTTTCGAAAGTGATAACCTTACTCCCTGGTGAATGTGGAGTTTCATATCACTACTCACCGGTTAGATGTACTTGCCGATTATTATCATTTTTTATGATATTCTATTTATAATGTTTACTTTCAGTGATTATGTTCGATGACTGTAACCGAATTATGGAGAAAAGTTTTATACGTGGCTTCTCCAGAAGATTCAAAATTCTAGTATGAGAGTGATTGAAGGACGCTATATCTGCTATGTTTGGTTTCCCGTTCAGCTGCTTTGAATGGAAGTTTTTGTTGCCAAACTTAGTTTGGTAATATGTTTGCTTTCTCCTTCGATGCACACCTATGTTTGATTTCATGTGAACTTAACACTAAGAGTTGCTTTTAAACTAAGTTTGTAAAATGAAATTCATTCAAATTTATGTTTGAAAACTTGACATGTATATAGGAAGACTAAATGAGGCGATGCAGGGTACGCACACGCCATGAGTAGGAGATGAAATTGAAACGATTGAGTCGTGTGTATATATTGAAAGGAAGTTAAACATTAGCTACTTAGGTTGAGTGCACCGTATGCTTAGACATTAGGGTGATTGACATTAATTTGGTCTAAAGCTGTCCTTGTTTGAACCTAAAGCTTGTTCCGGGAGAATGTGAGAACAGCTGGTTAATTATTTGAAGATCCTTTAAAGGATTTTCATGTTACTTAACATAATCTTCATGTAGTCAACGTTCCTCAAAATTAAATTCATCAAGATTTGCCGAGAATGTTCATTATTTTTTAATATTTATTTGAGAACTTAGTTCAAGTGCCACCATTGACCCTTGTCAATGCGAATTAAATTGCAATGCTCCCCTCCCCATTTTAAATGACCAATTAGATAACAAGAAATATTTTGGCTAAGGAGGTTCTTCAACAAGCCATACATAGTGTGTTGAATTTGGGGTCATGACCTTCTCAATCTGGATCAAACTAAAGAAACTCAGACTTGTTGCTTTTTGTTGTGAATTTGCAGGCAAACGTGCATATAAGATTCTGATTCAAATGCGAATTAAGTATGGTTGGAGTCAAGAAATTCTCTCTTGTAATTTGATTAAGGAAAAATAATGTTTGTATGGTGTTAAAAAATTATAGAATAAAGAAATTACCAGTGTTTATATACAGTTTTTTTTATCCTCTCTATATGTAATAAATTAATACTTTTGTGAAAGGATATATATTTAATTTGTTTATATGTATATAGTTTGCCATTAGATGTCATTACCGATTAACCCTTTCACAAACTTTTGTTCCCTTTTTCAACTAAAAGACTTTCGTTTGTCCTAGCTATATATTGATTCAATTTCACATGTCATCTGTTATCATTACATTTTCTCTATTTATGATCTTGAGAGTTTCAATTCCTATTATTTAGAGTTGAATTTCCACCTCATCAGGCTCTTACTATTGTCTGCTGCCTCAAATGGCAAATAATTTGTTTCACTTTAAGCAAGAACTTGGATTGAAGTCTTGATAACCAAGAAAACTTGTTGAGAGTTCTTTCTCTCCTTGAGTTGAAAAGGTTCTACTTGAATTGACTCCATGGATCAATGGATCAATGGAGTGTGAGTTTCACATGTCTTGGGTCTAGGACCTTTTTAAACTCCTCATTAATGGGAATGACTAAGCCAAAGAAAAAGGCGAGAAAAACATGCATGGGGAAAAAGAACTACATTATAATTGTCTCTGTCTAGTAGTATAGTGAGGTTCTTGCTCTGATTTTGAGGCCGTGAGGTTGAGAGTAAACTTATCATCTTAGGATGAAGTACGGAGGGGAAAACATTAGCCGGGAGCAAGAATTTGTGTAAAACATTATAATGCATGTTAATGGTATAAAATAAAGAAGCATACGAATTCCTCAAAAGAGTGAAAGTTAAATGATAACAGCATTTTAGTCTAGCCAACATGATTCAGGGTTAATTTTACTGGTTGGATTTATTTATTTATTTTTTTAACTAAAGAATCAGTTTCTTGGATAGGTTCATTGACTGAATTCTCCAAATGCACCATTTACTTTAGGATCTATCTGGTAGGAAGGAAAGAAGTGGGTGAAAATAGAGTAGATAGAAATAGTGAAGTGTTTGGAAATAAGCGAGAAATAGAGTACAAATGAAAATGTTTGATTTAAAGGAAATATAAAAGCAATGGGAAGATATAAATATGTGAATGAAAACAGTAATAGAGTGAAAATATCCAGTAGATCCTATTTCTTGCTGTTTTTCTTCTTCTAAACTCATTCATGTCTTTTGTTTGTCTCTTGTTTCTTTCTTCTCCTCCAAAGAAAGGGTTAGTTTTATTTTTCTGTATCAGCTTGTGAGAATAGTTTCCTCTGAAATACGTTCACATTGACAAAAAGTTTGCCTCTTCACCCTTCTCCTTTTCACTGTCAGAGGTTGTCAGTAATTGCGACCATTTGTGCTCTATCTCTTCCGTCTCTGTCTCAAGTTGGTTTAAAAATGTAAAGCATCTAAAATGGCGACGATTAATTCTAACCTCTATGTGGAAGCTTTTGAGTTAATTTAACATACTGAGTATCCGCTAAATGGATACAGAATCTAATTGCTGTCTGCTTTTTCCTTCATCTTAGGTTCTGATGGAGAAATTCGAACTTATGCTACCCGAGGGTAAGCGTTCTTAATTGGTTTCTAACAGATAATGAAGTCGTGATTGGTTTGAGTACATTGGCATCTTGCTCCTTACCAGATAATTTTGGAGACCTTAATTACTTTAGTTTATCTCAACTCTACTTCAAATTTGTTAAAATTACTTGGGAGT